CTATGTCTTTCTCATCCTCAATGCTGCCATATTGGTCACTCACATTTGGTACATTGCCCTTCTCTTCACCCAAATCAATATTTATCCCTATCTACAAAGATCCATTGTCTTTTGAGATAGAAAATGCTTAGTGTAACTCCTGGCAATTAAGGTGAGCACAAGTTCCTTTTTTTCCCTCTGCATCTGAGATGTTTTGTCTATTCCCTTATACATATGTTTGTTTTTATAAAGGTGATTTCAGACAGGTATATCAAAAGTTGTTTTTTTTTTTTAAGTCTTGTTTTCATTCTTTTATAGTCATTTAAGTACTTTTGAAAGTAAAACAGAGTCTGAATGAATTGAGATGCTGAAACAGAAGGCACAACTTTCTAGGTATTTAAGTACTTATGAAAGTAAAACTGAGTCTGAATAAATTGAGATGCTGAAAACAGAAGGGACAAGTTTCTCTAAGTTAGGCAGGAGGGTCTCCAGAAGCAATGGGTTCCTTGGGTACTGAGCTGAAGAACCAAGACAGACATGAGGGTGGTCCCAAGCTTCAGTGTGATGCTTGATATTTAATAAGTACTTGCTGATTCATGTTTACATGCATACTTTAGGAAAGGATGGTTGGAAAAAAGGATGAATAGACATTTGGGAGGATGACTAGCTGTCTGGATAGTGAGGTGATAGGGATGGCTGCTTGCTTGAAAAGGTGAATGATTGGACTGGTTGACTATTTATTGACTTTACAATGACATTGGATGGTTGTTCATAAACGATGACCTTCCACTTGGGATTTTGTGACTTTTGAGTGTTAATGAGTCTAGCACAAACTCCATTTTCCTCCAAATTCTCATTATAAATTACAACATATATTTATTTGTTGTTAGACTGCAGCTCTTTGAAGAGGCTTGATGTTGGTTTTTTTTTTTTTTTTTTTTTGATGTTGTTTTTTAATTCAACATTCTTAAAAGTCTCAGGAGAAAACAAGAGATTTAAAGAGTATAGAACATTCAGTTATTCTGAAATTTCAATGAGCTTTTATTGTCTACTCCCATTCTCAGATGGATTTATGATGATATGTGGCTTCCTAGGTCTTATTAGGTTCTTAATCAACAATTTGGAAATAATTAAGTTTACTTCCTTTATAAGGTTGATCTGAGGTTAAATTATTATGCATACATACATACATACAGATTAGGTATGTAAATTATATCTATATATAGATACATAGATATATCTGGTGTTGCAGTGCCTAAGGCATTTGACTGGTAACCAGAAGGAAGGTTGGCTGTTCAAACTCACCAGTTGCTCTGTGGAAGGAAGATGAACAATCTACTTCCATAAAGATTTACCACCTCGGAAACCCCTTGGGGGTTGTTGTTG